AGAGGTCTACATTTTTGCCTGTCAAATTTGGTGATCCATCCATAATCATACTAATTAACTAGTCACGTGATATCTCATGACATTCAAGAATTCCTGACAGCTGTGCCTTTAATATCTTCCATAGAAAGCAATTCAGTAAAGACGTGAAACGGTGTTGTTCACATATCATAAAATACTAGAAATCTATCTCGCGTCACTTTGTCAGTACTGCCATCCAATGTTATAGAGAAGTAAAGTGGGCGCCAAAATATACAGTACTGAAATGAAAAGACGTCCTGTTGATACCACTGTCTATTCATGTGAAGGTCCCTTGCACGGCAGAACCTTCTCAAATCCTGAAGAAATGGTCCAATCACCATGTCCCTGTAGCGTTTTTGGGTGACTGTAAGAGCATTGCCTTCCTCAACCTCAATGAAATGGGGGCCTAATATACCGCGTGCTGAGTCGGCACACCTTATCGTCACACGTGTAGTGTAGCGGTTTCTGTATGACAACATCTGGCCACTCAAAACCAAGGAAGCGAGTTGTCTGGCGACAAATTCCGTATGAGCGGAAATAATACTCAAACATGAATACTTTTTCCTTCGTCGAGAGACCCATTTCCAACAACAACTGCACAACGCAACTTCCTTTTCACTACTGGGAACCCGTGCGGCTGGAGCTATGCCTCGTCGACAAACGCACATGCGCGTTCGAGATGCGCGAGTTTCAGTACTGCATTTTTGGCGCATGTATGACAGACTGAATCATATAATTTCATTGTGTTAGAAAAACACTATTTAATTCTTCCGCACAATCCCTAGGTGTTCTCGATAAATTTACATATTCAAATGCCGTTTTCTTTATGGGTGCACTGTTTCAGCTACATTCATCATACACAAAAACACTATCCAAAACAGTTTCTTGGGCACCGCCATATTATTAGTCATTACAGAATTTGCTTCAGTCAGTGCTTATTGCAATATATTGTCAAGATTTAGCGGTGACTATGGACGGGGATTTGGGAATGGATCTCGGATTTATTAATGTCAGCACATGACTCGCAATTACACTTTACAGACCAGTGACACACACAGACTAATGTCCTCAGTCCTCACTAGCCGTTTCCTGGCAACGGATTTTAACCCAGGAACTAAAACAGTCTCACTGAATTACACACTCCAGATATCACTCATAAAGTCTTCTTTTCACAGCCGCACTCTTGCAGTTAACTATTTTCTTCACAGCCTTCCGTACAGAATTCTCATCCACTAACTGGGTAAAGTCAACGTCACACTGCGACTAACGGTCAGTTAGTCGTCTGTCTTGGTGTCGAGCCCCGTCTGAGACTCATGACCAGAGATTAGTTTCTGTTTGAGTTACTGTCCTGTCCATGTGGAGCGGCCTCTGCCGAGAGGACGGATCTGTCGTTTGTCAGTCACAGCAGTAATAAGTCAGTTCTCAGTATGTACACTATACGTGTATTTACATTTTACACGTTATTAAGAGTATTATTATTTATTACTATTATTGGAGGGGGTGGGTTTCCCCATGCACCGCGACCAGTTTGATCTATTGTGCGTCCCCCTATAATCTTCTACCAGCCTCTATACCCTACCGGTACTGGTGCTTACCATCAGTCCATATCCAGCCAGCGAGGTCGGCCTCTACTGGCTCAGAGGTATCTCAATGCTTCCCCCATCTACTAGAGGCGTTAGAGACTACTGTTGGGCGGGAAATGTCCTTAATTTACCTCAGTGGCCTCCTTTGGAGACATGAGGTTCTTTTACGTGTCGTAAATCTACGACACGGGACCACGGCTTAAAGTCCCTCCCGGAGGACTTGTTCCCTGAATTTTTCGGCCCTTAAAAATTCCACGACCTCCGCCGGGTTTGAACCCGCGTACCTTGAGGCCGCTTTATTAAAAGTAAGTACATGCAATATATACAAGGCCTATGTCAGACCAGGCTCAGTACAGCAGATCATGCTCTACCTTCAGTAGCTCCAGCAACAACGGCAGTCTAGTGACTTGAACGGTCGTATACTTGACCGCCGCCAAGTTTAAGCCTCTTATATTTCCTGTGTCGGGCTTCGCCTAGTCCACTGTTGATAACATCTGCATTTTCATGATTTTGTATGACTTCTGTTCGTTGCCTGCATAATTTTGTTACATAATCATAAACGTAAGGAAGTTTGAAAGCCATGTGCAAATCGCGAACAGGTGTCAAAGTCACATTGCGACTGACGGTCGGTCGGTCAGTCAGTCAGTCAGTCAGTCAGTCA